CCAGGAGTTTCTACCACTAGCAGATATGTCATGTAACAAAAAGGAAATTTAGAACAGATAAATACAATTCTAGTGAAGTCTGGGAGCCACATGCAAGTGAAGAATTTAATCTTCCTTAATCTTTTCACATGGTGTGATTAATCCCCTACCTTTGGGCTCTGGAAGATTACTTCTAGAGATAGCAACAAAAACAATATCATTTTTTCTGCATATAAAATATACAGAAAAAATATAAAATATGCCACTATAGAGTTATGTTCCTAAACAAAATGTTGCATTCTCCTATCCCCTCTTACACATGTGATTCAGCAGCATGAGATTTGCAGCACAACAGAACAATATTCTTTGTTGTGCGTGGTTCCTATTTAATGATGCTCTTTGTATAGCTGCCAAAAATGCTGAAGGTCAGCTAAGCATGGATGAAAATGTAAGGCCACACTCAGGTTGCATAACTTCCACTAGAGCAGCTAAGCAATACCTGTTTGGTAACCAGGAAGAGCAGCAGCACGGCCAGGGAAGGTGCTGAGCAGCACGGAGCTGGCTGGCTCAGCAATGGGGACAGCAGCTCAGGAGAGCTGGGGAACAGAGGCTGCCTCAGTGTGGTCCCAGCACCTGCAAACCTCTGCTCAGACTCGACCCCCACACAAACCAACAACTAAAAACCACTGTGTTCCTGTCATGGAAATAGATTATTCCTATTCTCAAGAACTGCACATAGGAGGCAGTTTCAAACTAGTCCCACTGCATGTTACTAGACACATATACTAAACTCGGGGTTTTTAAAATGCAAGAAAAAAGAGAAACTGCCTGCCTGTATATGTGAATCTGCTATCTAACAAATAGGATTACCTTGCTTAAAATATACCTACAAGTCCTTGTGGTGGGCTGAATGCCTTCAAAGTATTCTGATTATTTTCATGTGGGGCAGAATCTAAGTTTGCTAAGGGCTACAGAAAGGTGAGTTAAACATCAAGATTTTTTTAAAGCCATTCTTTTACTCATAGGCTGTTGATGTCTAGAGAGGCTACCTGGAACAGAGGCTAGACAGAGTTAAAGGAATAAAGTAGGCATTTATTAAAAGGCCTTCAAAGGATGAACCTTGGGTGGTACAAGAGCCCAGCTGTGTCTCTACCCAAGATGGATGCAAGATGGATGTCCAGTCACGAGTTTTCACACTTTTAGAAGTTTTGGTCCCTTAGCATATTGGGGTTAAATGTCCAATTACAGCTTCAGGTTATGAAGTCCCATCCTCCCAGATTGCTGTCCTCAATTTGCTGTTGTTTACACTTTTGGGCCTGAATCTGCAATGATGTCCTTGGGACTCAGGCTGGAAAAAGATTGTTTTGTCTAACTAAACTGTGAGGAGAATGTGCTAACACTTTATATTAAGTTCACAGTTACACACTAAGGCAGTACAGAAGCTGAAAAATATGGAAGCTAAAACTTAAGGCATCACTATTAACATCAGTATCTCTGAACTTTATGTCGTATTTCAAGGCTGGATCAGAGTTGAAACATGTCCATGGGTACCTAACTTCCACTTTCCATGGAGGCCAACCCATATTTAGAAATATAAAAATAACAGAATAATGGTGAAAAATTGAAATATTCTCTGTGAAACAGTGCATGAAGAAAAAGCCATAGGCTGTTACAACCCCAGTGAATGCCCCAACACACTGGTCCCTGTGGTTTTGAGTGAGTTAACACATTGTCCCAAGTTGTCCCTCTTGGTAACCTCTTTGGTCCCTGTCACTGTGTCAAGAGATCACTTGTTCCCCTGGCAAAGGGCAAGCTACAGCTAGGGACAGCTTTAAAAATCGGGATAGCTGCGAGATGTCTTGAGCTATTGCATACCTAAGGCCTAGGCACCAAGGAACATTAACAGCCCAAGCAGCCTCTGCAATGCAGGGCCACTGCTGGAGCAGGTCAGAAACATTAGCAGAGCAGAAATGGCAGAGATAGCACCCAAGCAGAGCCCAGAAGACAGACTGAGCTGCTTCTCAGGGCTACAAGCAGCCTTTCTCTTAAGGCGTAGACTGGATAGCAGTGAACCCAAAATATTTTCTAAGACAGATCATGTTTACATCCAGGCTAATTACTGAAGATGACTCCTAAGGATAAGGAAGAGCTGAACCCAGCAGTAAATCTGTTCTTCTCTCCAAAGACTAAGTTAATGCCTTTTTTTAACCCTTGAGCTGGTGCACATCTTGTAATGAGCTTAGACTCCAGGACTGGAACCAAACAGCCAAATCCTGAGAAAGCACCCACTTCTGCAGACTAGGACAGAGACGTTAATGCCTTTTTTTAACCCTTGAACTGGTGCACATCTTGTAATGAGCTCCAGGACTGGAACCAAACAGCCAAATCCTGAGAAAGCACCCACTTCTGCAGACTAGGACAGAGAAAGAAGGGACATTCTTCTCCAAGGGAAAAGCCTGTCATGATCCCAGTTCTGCAGACAGAACAGGGAAACAGTGGTTCAAAATTGAAAACAGAGAATTCATAAAATATAAAAGGACAGAGAAGTCATAGAAATATAGTTCCTGCCTCAATGAATCTCTAGACTCAAGAGGTTTCACAAAAAAACAGGTCATAAAAAAGTTTTATATAACTGTCATTTTTAAATTCTTCTTTGTATCTCTGGCATGCAAAAGTAAAAGTCCCATATATTATAAAATTCCTGGACTTTCTTCTTCCCAGTAAGAATGACACAATTTAAATCAAATGACCAGAAGGCTGTTCATGTAACAAAATATTTTTAACCTTTCAAAGAAACTGCAGTAAATCTGAAAGTAACCAGATGTGCAAATGGTATAAAGTAATGTGAAATGAAAACTATTCTCTTTATTTAGACAGCACCTTGATTCGGAATACAAAAGCTGCTTCTGCAGAGAAACCCTGCTGCTCCCAGGCTTCACATGTTCTATGCCACAGTTGTTAGACTACCACAGAGCAAATCACTTCTCTCTGGCCAGCAAGTTGGTCAGTGGTTTGGAGAGTATTGCAGAAACTTGTGCAAGAGCAAAACTGTCTCATCAGCTCATTACAGCAGTAAAATGCAGGCCCAAGCAGCTGCTGAAGTGCCAGGGCTGGTGGGAGCTCCCGATGCTGTCCAGGCAGAACAGGGCACACAGCTCCAAAACCTTCTACAACGGAGATTTCTCTGGGCTCATATCAGACCTGTCATATTAAGCACCTTCCTAGAGCACATGGCAGCAACAAGGATGGGATTCTCTTTCCTGCCTGTTTAATTCTCCCCTACCCCGCACCTGCCAAAAGATTCTAACAAAAACAATTACTGTCCTTAGTTCTTTAGTAAAGAAATCACTCTAGTGAGCCCAGAGTTTCACGATTATTCATCTGGAGATGTCCATAAGAGTGTATTCGTCAGGAAAAAAATTATTAACATGTTTTATATTACCAGGAATGTATGTAAAATGTCAAAGGAAAGTTGCAGTCCAACAAAGCATTGTTGACAAAACAGCTGAAAGTACTTTGGTAGTTTGAGTCTTCTGAAGAAACTGGAAAAGGAAAAGCATAAATTAATGGAGGGGACAAAAATCTCTTTTCTACTTGTAATCATCTCAGGTATAGCAGGTAAATATGATTTATGCCTATGGTTTTAAACAGCCTCACTAAATTTTATTTAATAGTAGATTTTAAAAAAAGCCATTACTCTTGGTATTATGCAACACTGAGAAATGCAGAGAGAACCAATTTGATACCGTTGTCAGCTGCAGCTGGTCAAGTTACTCAAAAATCTCCTCCATCAAACCTGTAGTTTTTAGGACCCAGCAGAAAGGGAGGTACATATACAAGGGCTACTGGGCTTAAAGCAAATACTATGGTGAAAATTCTGGGAAAAAAAGAATTAGGGAAAAACAGAACCAAGAAACAAATCCAGAATAAAATGCCTAATGATCAAAGACTGAACTGTCTCAGGTTTTTCAAACAGAAGTGCTTTAGTGCCTGGGTAAACTTTTCCCATAAGTACACAGCCTTTTATACCAGGACCACAACTCAACCCATTGTAGTTAAAATTAAGAGTTGTACTAAGCAATGTAATATAAACTAATTTTCCAGAGAAACTGCCATAAACTCATGGTATGAAATTATTCTTAACTCTTCTAGTTCAACTGAAATGAACTCAATGGAAGATAAAAACGCTGCATCTCCTATCAGAAAATTCTTCATTGGCATACACCACAATGCTTCCTGACCCAGTGCTGAACAGGCTCACAAGTTATATTTTCCCCTTTATAGTCAAAATCATGATGTATACAAAATATTTTAATTAAAAAAAAACCCCAAACATTTAATCTGGCTAATTATGAAGGCTACAAAATCCACCCCTTGGTTTATAACTTGAAAGTTCAGTGGCTCAGATCATACTGGCAACTTTTAACATGCCAAGAAAACAAATTATATCTAACTTGTGAAAACACTCAATCCACCAAAAGAGGCAAAGCTGACCCTTGGCTTGAATGTACACAGGATCCTCAGCAAGTGGATGGAGACTGCACTGCACATCTTCTGCTGCAGAAATCAGCTACACTTCCTCACACTCAAAAATGTCAAGCTCATATTGTTCACAACCCAGTTTTCCATAGTCTCAGATGGTTAGCTGTTGTTTTGGTTTTTTTTGAATTCTTTTAAGCCTTCTGATGTTTACATTCTTGTAACAAATTTTTTATGGACATTATGTAAATAATTGTTTTGCATTCTTTTCTGGAGAAGGAGAAATTTGATGGACTGTTGGTTTGTCTAGTGTCATTGGAGAGGTGGAACTTTCACTCTCGAATCCACTGTCACTTTTAGAAATCTATAAATGTTGGAGTCAGAATTAAATTTCTCTTTTTTTTCCCCTTATCTGCATCTTTCTATTTTGTGTCTTAGACTGACAGTTAGCCTTTATCTTCTAAGAGAAGAAGCATCTTTTAGTCTCTAGCATGGACTTTTGAGGGTGTCCATTTGACAAGAAGACACAATGAAACAACACATATAAAAATCATTCTTTATTAATGCTTTCAAGTGTCATCTTCTGAGTCATGATCCTCAATTTTTTGGAGTGGCCGCCTAATACCAATTACTAAGTCTACGGAGAGAAGCTCTGTAACACAATGAAGAACTGAAATGACTAACTGGTATTTGCAATACACTGACTCTAAGCCTTCATCGTTTACAGGCAGTGGCTGATTTTTCTGGAGTAAATTAATGGCTTCAAGATAGAATTTGGTAAATCCACCTCGTTCTGCTGTCCCGTACAAGGCCTTGGGAATACTTAGCAAAGCATCAGCAACCACATTAGATACAATTGCTACCTCTGACTGCTGACACCGTCTTGCATAATCCCGAATATAATAATGTAACAGGATTTCAAAGTAACCTCCTACTGGCAAAACTGATCCCGCTTCTATGAGGCAGCTGGAGTAATCCTGTGCAATACCTGCACGACTCTCCTCCTGTTTAAATGGAACTATATGGCAACATGTTTTCTCTAGACCTTTGCCAACATGCAGGCACTCACAGGCAGCGACTGCATCAGTGTTATGTGCCACTAACACAGGAGTGCTGTGATTCTTTTGATTGTGGATCAGCAGATCACTTTTATCAGGGTCAAAAATTTTCCTCTCTGTTTCATCACTAAGTGCTTTCAGCTGACATTCAGAAACCTGGTTACTCTTACAAGTATTGCTCTGGCTTTCACCTTCCGCTTTCCATTCCTGCCTCTGATCAAGTGTTTTAAACAGCTGCTGCAGCATTGTGAAGGCCTCCTGTAAAGCAGCAGCGTGTTGTTCATTAACGCCATCGACCGGCCCACACAGGATCAGGCAATGGGGCTGGAAGGCACACACGCGGGCCAAGCCAATGTGGACACATCTCTTGGAGACGAGCAGTAAGGGCTGGCAAAACGTTACCACTGCAGTTTCGGTTATTTCTCGGTCCATGCTATCACCAAAAGGCACGTAAGGGGAGACACCAGTGATTTCACTGATAAGGGCCATTTCTTCCGATGATAAGCATTCTACCACAGACACACCATATAATTTGGCGTGGTAGATAACTATTTCTTCTTGCTTCACACTTGACAGTAACAGCTTAACATTGTTACTCTGAAAGTGTTTCATTAAGGCTTCTGTCCTCGCAGTGATCCAGCGCAGGGAAGCCTGATACTGACCTTCGGAGTCCACAACAAACTCGACACCGGGGGCCGCCAGGGCGGGCCGCAGGGGCTCGGTGACGAGCAGGGCCCGCAGCTCCCCGTCCGTCGGGCAGTAGGCAGCGAAGTCCCTCCGGAGGACGATGCCGGGCAGGACCCTGGAGCTCGCCAGGGGCAGGCCGGGCACGGCGGCGTGCAGCTCCCCCTTCCGGCCGCCCGCGGAGCGTCACGGCCGCGGCGGGCAGCGGCGGAGGGGCGGGGAGCGAGAGGGACCGAGGAGCGGGACAGGGAGCGGGCGGGGAGCGGCGCACAGAGCCCAGAGACGCGGAGGTGCGACACATCTTTATTGGAGGCGGGCCGTAACAGTTCAGATCCCTCACAGAGCCGTGATCCCGGGGGCCGGACAGGGCGGGACACGCGGGACGGGGAAGCGGGCGCTGTGTCCTGAGCGCTAATCTTCCCGCTTGGCAGAGAGAAAGGCCGGGGTGGGGCATAAAGGAGAAAAAGTTAAGGAGAAAAAGCTCACATAATCTCACCCCGAAGTTACATCGTTCGAATTATTTCTGCCACAGAGTAGTGCAGCTTCACTGTAAACATCCCAAACCCTCCACTTGCGGCTCCCCGGCCAGAAAGAAGAAAGAGTGTAATGTTTTAAGAGCTGATTTTTTCTGCCCCCCAAAGACTGACTAAGCAGGAACATCAGTTCTCCAACACAACAGCCCTCACAAAAGATCTGATATATATGGCACAAATTTGACAAATCTTTACATGTCTCCGAACAGCATAGAAACCCATCAAGAAGGCACTGTTTACAATACTTGAATATCTGCTAAATTTTCTGTGATTTGCGGGTACTCCTGAAATAAAAATAATTAAAACTTAGAGATGTACAGAATTTTTGTTACACATTATTTACACAAACAATGGTAATAGCCAAAAATAACAGCCTTTAAGAAACACTGAATTACAACCCTGTTTCATAAACATGAACCTTGGAAGAAAAAAAATATTACCAAAGGCACAGAAGGGCAGCAAACAACAAACAAAAAAGAAGAAACCACAACCATTACTTTTTACAAGAAAACTTTGCAAATAATATGTGAGATTTCACAAGTGGGAGGAAGGACATGAAAACCAGACTATACACCCTCATCAAGTGATATCAACTATTTAAAAGGAATCAACACATGAAATTCAAGAAATATCATCTACTGAAAATGATACTTGTTGCATTTCACATGGCATATTTACTTTTTCTTAGCTTAGGTAATCTGTACCCAATTAGGCAACCTGTACCTAAATGGCAAATTAAAGGCATAGAGTGCATCTCAAAACAAACCAACCAACCCGACAAAACCACATGGCAAATTCTGCAGATATTTCCTGTACAAGGAAAAAAACCCAAACAAAACAGGAATTGGAAATCAAATGTCAAAACAAGTGCTGTTATAAACTTTAAAATCTAGAAGGCCACAGCCCTCAAGCATCAAGCATCTGCAAACTGTACAATCAATTTTTATATATGTGCAGAGCTCAGTCTGAAGCAGGTAGTAGTCAAGATCTGCTGTACATCATGGCTAAAGAGGACAATGGTGACACACTAAAGAAAAGGATCCATACATGTCTGTGACCAACTGTACAGTAAAAAACAGGGAAGAAGTTTCTTTGTTCTATTCAAATGAGGGAACATACAAAATCCAGCAAAATAAGAATTACCAGGTTTTCACTGTATTTTTCAGAATTTATCTAATCATAAAGTCTTGCAGAAGTCTGCAATTTTACTTTTCAAGAAGTTTCATCACATATCCTTTACCTTTCCAGATCATCACTAAGACCACTTTTTCAGCAGACTTCAACTCTAAAAAATAAGTTGAAAAGGAAAACAAGCATAAGGATTTTGTTTTGCTGTGTTCAAGCCTTTCACTCATCTTGAGCTAAGCATGAACTTCAGCTATGGATTATCTTTTTAGTCTGACATTGCCCAACACTGCCAGCCAGCCAGCTGGCTGGGTCAAATCCAGTCACTGCCATGTGAGCCACGTGAAAATGCATGCAGACTGTGTTATTCACTGCTCTTGGACAGAAGTGATTGAAAAATCAGCATGAAAAGGCAGAAGGACATTTCTATTTACAAGGAAGATAAAAGCCTGAAACTATCAGTCAAGAGTTTCAGCACCACAAATTTAGCAGAGTATTATTCTAGGGGATTGAAGTTATTGCCTGATTCTCACTCATTGGATTATTCTCACATTCTGAGTGTGTTTAAAGGATTGTAATGCATCTTAAGACAGGTGAAGCCTTGACATCTGAATGCAATAATGAACAGACAAATTCCAGGCTAAGAATGTCAAAGTGAATGCCGTAACACTCTGCTTTCTTAATGCCATTTCATACATGGGTAACTTCAGTTTCCATTTAGAGACTGAGGCATTTGTAGTTATTTTGTTTGTTTTTGAAGGGACTTCCTATGTTCACAAATTTTGCCCCATCAGCTGTAGATTTAATAGAAATCCAACCAGGTTTGGTCTTGCCCATGGCTACAAGATCTGGTTAACGTAACACGTTCCAGAAAAATTATTCAAGACCAAACCATGCTAATGTGACGCTATACGAAATATGCTGAAGTTCACTGCTTACACAATAGACTTTTACACAGCCGAGGCCCATGGAAGAAGAAGGATAAAAGAGAAGGGGAGGTGTATGGAAGTGTCAGCCACAGAAATAGATAAGCTGGACAGATAAACAAGTAAACAGTATTTTTACTATATACTAGTGAGACTGATGCAGAACAGAAATGCAGATCATCTGGAGAGTCAGGCAATCTGCCCAAGGCAGAGGCATAACTGGCCACAGCAAAAAGCCAAACATGACTTTCAAACTGTTCCACTGCCCAGGATGGATTTAATTCCTGAGAGGATCCTCTGAAAACAAACTTGGCTGTTCTTCATATTGTGCCATTCATCCTCCTGTTGTCTCACCTGGGATACTGAAAATATGTTTTCATTTCTACAGCCCCTTTTTGCCTTGGTATGCTTGACTGGCACAGGGAACTCACCAGATAAATACCAGCACTACATTTTTTGCTGGAATTTTACAAATTCTATACATGCATATATTTCTTCAAATAAAAAATGTTAGAAACCCTGGTTTTTAATTTAAAGTTAAGCTTTGAATGAATTTGTATGGCTACAGCATACTAAGAAGGTGCATCCATGTATTCTGGTAGGTAGTATATGCTTGCAGAAAAAGAGGGATTTCAAACACTTGGATTTTCCTCTTATTTGTTTTGAGATATGTGGTTTTAGCCAACACACAACTTTTGAGCTTTCCCTGTGTAAACACACACATATTCATTTGTAACTCTACTCATGACTGTGACTGAATCCTATTCTACACTGCCTTTTGGAGATTCAGCTCAAGCTACACACTAAGCATACCCCTTGACATTTTGTTTCAAAAATACCCATGAGTCCTGGCATCAGCAATCTGCCTGCTGACCATGACATGGCCATACACAAATGTAAATCCAAAGCTGTAGATTTTTCAAGACTTACAAACATACCAGAAATCCTTGACATTTGCAATTCATGAGAGAGTAGACGCAAACAGTACCTCCCTGGCTGCTGTACTGTTAAAAATATGCTCCGTACAGTAGATGTGGGAATGTTTTTAAGAGGAATCTTAAGTTTTAAAACTATAAAACAGCTGGCTTACAAGCCTACAGTAATTCAGGATAAAAACCTCATACTTCCAAAACTAATCAAGGACATTATGTTGCAGATTTCCCAAAGACTTTAGCTTTTTACTTACCATTTCCTAACACTCACAATTTTTCATATAATAATGCATTTGTTTGACCTTAAACAAAAGTTTACTTCCAAACACCCAATGCCATTTACAAAAGCTGTTGGCTACTTGAAAAGTTTTTGTTACAAAAATGATAAGTTTATATGTAATGAAGTATGCCTGTTTATCATTCTACCATAATAGGAATCACATCCTACCTATGGGGTCTGACCTCAGTGTTTAGCTTGATCTATTCTGTGCTGAAGATTCATCAGTGTGACGCAATATAAACACAAGGCTGATGTCGTATGACTGCGAGACAGGCACACACCAGGAGCAAGAGTGTACTGGCACTTACACAGCTCTTACTGAAACTGGGTAGACACAAGTATGATTCTGAACCATGAATGCTGAGGCAAAGTTTTGTAAGTTGTTGCTACACAGTTTTTTTACATAATATTGCATCATTTAAAGTCCAGTTTAAAATATGGTCCCCAGTAACAGTTTGATCATTCCAGTTCAAGAAGGCCCTTGTTCACACTTCTTATTTGAACAAGACATTAATGATAAGCTGTAGCAGAACCAGGAGTAGAATGAAGACATAGTGCTTAAACTGCAAGGAATGGTAGTCCCCAGGTGATGAATAAGAAGTGACTCTATCTCGTAGCGCCACGATCTCCCTGTAAGATAGAAAACAATATCCTGTAAATTACAGACTAGACAATATGACATTGTCTACTATGTTAGGGTTGCCTACAGAAGGCAGCTTTAGAAGATAACTTTGAAACATCAATGAGCAATCAATATTTGAGAAGAGTAAAGACACATACCAGCCTCTAAGGGAAAAAAAATCCTGAGATTACTGTTCTGTAAACCATTTTAAAGCATTTTAATTATTACTACCTCTTAATGTCTTCCTGTGTTTCCTTTATAGACTCAATGGCACTCTGCAGTTCACCAAGGTCTGCCCCTTTTTTCCTTATTCTTGTACTATGCTTCATAAGTTGAGCTAGAAGGATACAGAAGCCAGATGTAATTCACTGAAGTGACTGCTGCCATAAAAGGAACAAAGTACAATTGACAAACTAAACCTGTATTAAAAATGAGGAGAAAATTTTCTAACTAGCTTCTATTGAAAATTTTATTTTAGAGTCACCTATACCACAGGACAGCAACTTAAGTACTTGAAATATCTTTTAAACACTCATCATATTGTTTAGCTTCTGTAAACATTATCAACAACAAAAATCTACCCTCTAGCCACACACTAATCTACAAATTAAAGCAATTAACCTTGTAAGAAAGGAAACAGTTTATGAACACCATTCTTTTCCCCTAGATATTAAATATGTGCACTTAAGCCTGCCTACACTGCATTTAAAAAGACAGGAAAATTTGCAATTAAAAACAAGAGCCATTCTGCTCCTTTGTTTTCCA